CGACTATAGTTGCACTATTGTTTACTGCTCTCTCGTCCTGTAGCCATTGCAGCAGTCAATTGCATCGCGCATATTCAAGTAGACGTACACGAAAGAGCTTTTTAGGAGCTCGTAAAGGGACCACGTGATGTACGTTTCTAATGCCCTGAAGTTTACTGCTCTCGCAACGATTCTTCCTTTACGGCTGTCGTCTTCGACAACATGTGGTTAAGGAATGAATCTCAGCAGTGTTGTTCGAGTAAAGATATTATGCGTTTCATACGTTTTGAGCATGTGAAGAATGACTATATTCACTATATTTGTGAAAAATCCATTGTGCCAATAATCCAGGTTTACTCAGCAAATTATTACGAGGCGCAGCAGTGTAATCCTCCAACTAACCACTACGACTACTAGAAGGTGGTGCGAGAGTACCACTAACGATGCAACTTCTCAACTCCAACGTAATCTCTGTATCGATTTGAAGTCTCAGCTGCGCCGAATACGTGTCTCTTTTTTTTTCCAGCGACGACAGGGTACTTAAGAAATAGACCCGCCAGTAGATCGAGTCAAGATATAGTCAGACGCTGGGCTGTCCATCGGGCGATGGTTGATGGCTCTTTCGTTTGCTTTTTTAAAAATGAAAAAAAAAAAAAAAAAGAAAGAAATAGCTGGTACTTTTTAAATATGAATCCACAATGTATGCTGCGTTGTTGCAAAGGCGTTGTCGTTTATTCGCGTGGAAGCGATAATCCTCCTGACATTGTGTTGCGACTCGAGGCATTTATTTCCCTTCCGAGGGGTCGAAACGATTTCTCATTCGTGGCTTTGGAAAAAAGGAATGCCCGCTCGCCGGGTAAATTGTTTTCGTAAGGGGTGATGAGTTATTCTCTTGAAAGTTCTCTTTCGTTTCGAAATGCAACGATGGCTCTCCATTCTGCAGCCTTCACCGATAAATCTTGGTCAATTTTTTTTTTTTTTTTCGCCACTTTTGTTTTGCTCGAGTAGAAAAAAAAAGTATTATACGTGGAAGAGAAGAGAAAAAAGTACGAACAAACGCAGCAGGTTCGTTAGTGAACGAAACGAGATTATATATACCTTTCGAAGGGGTGTACGCGCGAGCGGTGAAAAACAGTAAAAATTATCGGTGATCTTCGAGAGCCCGCGCGTTGGGAGCGGATTTTCATCCGAAACTCATCTCATGCACCCTTTGTCGAGCTCTTTCGTACACAACAGACAGTTGTAGTGCATTTCCCGTGTTCTCTCGAAATAATCCCTTCGTACCCCGACTCATATACTTCCGAAAGTTACAACGGTTAACACACGCCCACGAATACCCCATTCAACGGTGTATACGTAAAATTAAAACATGCAACTCCACCCAATGTACACGTAGACCCTCCATTAAACTTTGGCAACCCGTCCACGCAGCCAGCATAGATTAGCAGGGCAACAAACTTCCATTGCCCCTGTAAGAGCGTCCATAACTCGAGTCGACTAGTTTTCATTACGATACGTTACAAGCTACAAATCGCGAGCGTACATTACGAGTTATGTTGGACACCCGTAAGTACATCTCTAATACAGCCCTCGGGAGGGCCGATGAAAGCTCGTAAATACGCCCGTGCACGGGAGCACATGCACAATGGTAGGCAGGTACGTACGTACGACCATTCGGCTTGCGGTATGATACTCGAGCTCTCGGCTTGGACCGCAGGTCTCGCGGGGAACTGTGTGTGCTTGTGCCGAGGATTTCGAATAGGGGACGGGAGCGCGCCTCCGGGAAACAATGGGTTTTTACGGCAGCGGTTCGTGCTGGGAATGTATATTCTTAAGGTAATCCTCCGCAGTTGTTGTCACTTTTTTTTTTTTTTTTTTTTTTTTATACCTGAATCAGTCTAGTTTTCCTGCTTGTAGATGTAGGTGACTCGTGTGTACTTTCGCATCAAAAAAGTGGGGAAATTGAAACGAAGGGAGGAGGAAAAAGAATTATAAAAGGAGAGAGTTTACGGCTACGTGTATTCGTTTACCGTCGGAAATTCCCGCGGGAAGTAAGTTGGAGAGATGAATTTTTTCCTTCACTCGTAGCCTTCCCTGTTTTTCTCCCATATTTTATTTTTATGCTGAAACGAAGTTTTACCAAATGTGAATTAAACGTCACGCTCAGCGATGTGCGTGAATTTTTGTCAAACTGCTTGTAACTTTTTTTTCCCCACGTACGGGTATCAGTTTCAGCTGTACCTGCAGTAGTAGAGCGATTTTAACATTTTGAAATGATATTTTAACGCTGCAAATTGTGCGCAGTGATTGACGTTTTCTCCGTAACACATAAATCCGCGTGACCACCAATTTGATCGAACACCGTTTCCGACACTAGTGTCTCGAGCTTACCCATTCGTTTACGTATCAAGAAAAGAAAGAAAAAAAAAAAAAAAAAAGAAATCGGGTCAAGCCGTTTTCCTTTCATCAACTTGGTCTCTCTCTATTCTCCCTTTTATATTCCATCCCTGCACAATAAAAAGTACAAAGGGTCGCGGAAAGGGGGGGGGGACGCAAAGCTGGGGGTTAATTCGCCTGCGGGAGACACCCACTCCAAGTTTTATGTGTGCGTGTATGTGAGCAGACAGTCTTTGATGCAACGCCGGTATTGCAAGCTCAAGTGTGCTGGGGAGAAAAAGTGTGGGTGAACGAGGTTAATACCTATCATTTTCAGTGGCGAGAGAGCATCAAAGGGAGTAATTGGTCCAAATTTTTTTTCTTTTTTTTAATTAAGTTGCTGTTTAAGTTGAATTTTTTTTATTTATTAACGACGATTTCTTATTCATCTATTTTTCTTTTACAGTCTAATCATTATTATGATTATGATTGTACTCTCGAATAATCATGATAATGATACTTTATTGATCATAAAATCTGTTTTATCATCTAGTAGATACATAAACTTGCACCTTTGGTATAATTTGCTACGATGTGATTTAGTTACTTTCGAGGATGTCTCAATTACCCTTGTACTGATTGTCTGTCCTATTGATAGCAATGTAACTATTTATTTTTTAAACGTATTTTAGTAATATTTGCTGCTGATCAAAGTCTACCAAAAATGTTACGTGTATCGAAAGTAAGAGACACGGGTAGTATTGAAACATTTTTAGTAATATTATCTCATCAGCTCTCATGATTTTAACAGCAATACGTAGAAACTCTTTTTTGTCCCCAATCATTTTTTTTTTATTTTTAGTATTAGATCCTGATGCTATAAACGCCAGAACTGATCGAAATCGAGCACCCAAATGGTTTCCCTTTCAAAGTCTTTTCCAATTTCCTCGCGTTGAATCCAAACTTCCACAGATACAAAAAATTCGTATTATTATTTTGTATTCTACTTTGGCCCCACAGACGATGACGTCTTTTTGATTACCTCTCCAATGTTTTTTCTCCATTTATCATGTAGAAAGTATACCCTATTTTTCCAATTTTTGGTTACTTGGTTTACACGCTGATGGTGAAGATCAGCAATAAGTCTCGAAAGGCAAAATCGATGAACATCAATTCCAAATTTTTTTGTACAGAATCAAACACTGACACCAATATTCTACCACGATTTGCTAACGAATACTTTTTTTTCCTAAACCAAATTATATTTAACTTTTAAAGTCAAGCAATTATATTTTTTTTCCAAATAAATTTCGTTCGTGTGACTTCGTCGTTCTCCCTTTTCCTCTCCTGACTTGCTACGTAATGCTAAACATCCGTTTTCCGTTCATTGCTGAGGGTACAGTATGTTATACTGACAATGCAGTTGCTGTATTTTTTTTACTGTTTCAACCGCGATGCGTACGAAGGAAAAAATGAAGAGGTGACAACTACATTATGTACAAAAAAAAACCAATTTCAATCAATCCAAGTCCTTTTAGACGCCGAACAACGTCATCGTCCCGCAGATTCACCAAAGCTGCGCAACCACAGCACTTTTTTCGAAAACGACCAATCAATGCGTCCGCAAAAGGGAAAAAACGAGAGTATGAGGCCTCGGCGAGTCGTAAAAAAGTCGTCGTTATCGCGCGTTTGGGGGATTAGAAGCTACCCGCTCACCCAACGATTTTTTTAAATCCCCGGAACCGCGTTTCTTTCACGTGAAAAGTTTACTGCTCGTAGTTTTTTTTTTATATACTTTTAGGGGCATATACTTTTAGGAACAAAAATAAAATTCCTTTTGGAGATAAATCTCAATTATACATTCGCGGGTATCTAAAATAAACTCTGTGATAAAACAAGCAACGTACTCCCTCGAAGTTACTCGCGAATTCACGGAGGGGGAGTAGCAGCTGCGACGGCTTTGCCCTAAGTGGGATTCTCGGCGCATTCCAGCACCTGACGTCGTCGTCTTGGCGCGAGACAGCTGCGGTTGCTTGGGCCCTAGAGAGACTTTTCGGCAGCTAGTGTGCGACTCGAATCCCGAGCAACTGTGCCTTCTCTGCCATGAAAATCATCTTCCGGGTGGATGACTCGATCGAGCAAAAACAGGGCAATCTTTTCATGAAAAAGTACTTTTGAAGATTTTCAAAATTTCGTCGAAAATTAATATAATGAAATCTTACAAGGACTTGGAAGGGTGTTTATCTTATCAAATGGCGTTTAAGTCATTTCTAGACACAAAAAGATTTTGAAAGTGTTGAAATATCTCGGAAAGATTTTGAAATTTTTTTTGATAAACTTCTTAAGACGTGAGAATTTTTTTTCAAGACGTTGAGGTGCTTGCTTAAATTAGAATGAATTTTACAATTCAGTGAGAAAAGTATTTGAATTGTTGTATCAATACGAATTTTTTCGCAAAACAGGACACTTACATGGGGATTGAGTAAGTTCAAGGTATCCGCATGTAAACATGCAAGAGAGAGGTCTTTATGAATAAAAATTGTTGTATTTTATTTATTTCAAATAATTTGTATAATTGCATACAAGTATATCATTGTAAAAAAGTTATGATTAAAATTATCGTTTGGCTAAAAATGAACGTAAAATTAAAATATAACTTCTGGATTACTATGGTCCAGTAGATCAGACTTAGGCTTAACAAATACATTTTTAGACCAACGTTTACGTATTATTTTTAACTCTCTCATATTGAGGTGAGAAAGAATATTCCATGCAATCTTATCTGGCAGACTTTCCATATTAGTTTTTTTTAATGTGCCTTCAAGAGCCTTGTTCAAACAATCTTTTGCCGTGATCAGTGCCATTTTCTTTTCTATGGCCAGATTAATGCGATTTTCTATAACATACTCATAGTACTTGATTTTATCCTTATTTTTAAACGATAAAAGCAATTTTCTGCAAGCATTCAGCCGGCGTTTGTCTAACGCTTTTACGAAAGCCTCAAATGGCATTGTAATGATGTCATAGTGGGACATATCACTCGTTTTGACATTTTTTAACTTATTTAAATCCTTCTTGCAGTTGGACAGAATCTCCGACATGACATTATTTTTCTTCAAAAAACCCTTTGTTGGAATCAAATCCACGTGTAATTTATTCAAGCTTATTGAAATTGAATAAAAAAAGGTCACCACGTACATAAATTGATTAACATTACGCGAGTCTTCAACGATGTCACGGCAAACTTTAATTATCGCATGGTTAATAGCTGTGTTGTCTCCATATTCCCAGTACAAGTATGCCATCTTCAGTCCAATCTTGTTATAGTAGGTGAAAAGTGTTGAAAAATAATAAGGTACTTTACCGGTAAAACGCCTGTTGACAGAGAATTAACGTTACGTATGAACCTAAAAAGATCTCCAATTCTACAAATGCAATGGCTAACCTGTCGTTTCGAAGTCCAGCCTCAAGAAGTAATTTTAGGATGTCGTAGCGCTGATGTCTGACAGCTTTGCGTAGGACTCGATTGACATCGTAACAACAAAGTTTGCTCGCCTCTTTGATGTAATCTATCTCTAGCAAACGATCGACAACTTCCTCATAACCCAAAGTAGTGGCAACAATAAGCTCATCGAGCTTTGGTTCGGTTTTGTCATAACGAGGATGTAACTTAGGAATTGATGTGGAATATACGTCATGTCTTTTATGAACTTTACCTCTACTCAGTTTTTTCAGCATCAAATTCACTATCATCAAATCTTGTCTTCTCACAGCTAAGAAAAATGGTGTACTGTCCATGTAGTCAAATGCACGTAAATCACTACCTGCAAAATTTAATATCATCTATAGTAAACTTTGATTGAATCTACAAAGTAGAATGATAAAGCTGTTATTTTCAAAAATTGCTAGTAGGGTCATTACCACGCTCAATGAGCAGACGAGCTATTTCGTGACACTCTATTGTCCAGTTACGTTGTTTCAATATTACATGCAACGGTGTCTCGTTAAATTTATTTTTTTCATTGACATCCGCTCCTTTCCGAAGAACAGCTTTAACTTTAGTTATGTCGCGTGTACGAACAGCTTCATGCAAATCCAAACCGTCCACGCCGTTATGAATATCAATGCCTTTATAGTGCAGTAGGTTGAAAACAATGTTGTTTTTTCCCATCGACTGTCTGTCAAACACCAATCCATACATCAGAGCGTCAAATGAAAATGTGCCGTGGCTGTCTATTTTGGCTCCGTTTTCCAGTAAATACTCGAGAAATGGTATGTACCAGTCTGGTCTTATATGCCTGCGACTTTCACTGTTGAATAAGTAGTGAGGGCTCTTTGCACTGTTGGAAATCATAATTATCAGATCAAATGAATGATAATTACCAAAAAAAAAAAAAAAAAACTTTACCCAAAACCCACGAGTTCCTTCGCGACATCAACATGTTGTTCATTAATAGCGGTATCTAGCGGCGTCATGTCGGCTTTACTAACAACGTTAATGGAAATGGCTTTGTGGTTTAGCAAAAGTTTTAACATTTTTTCGCAACCCTTCCTAGCTGCGTAATGCAGTGCCGTACATTGGTATAAGTCTGCAATGTTTGGATTAGCTCCATTCATTAGTAGATAGTCTAATCCTCCTATCTGTAAATCATTGATCGATTATTTTAATAATATAATATGTTTGTCGTGAATGCATATTCGTTACCTGCTTTTCTTCAATTGCCATATGCAGTGCCGACTTAAACATAAGTCCATCTTGAGCATTGACATCAGCTCCGTAATCAACGAGTAATTTCATCATCGGGAGTCTGTCATCAGCTGGAGTAGGATCAGTTTCACTGACGTGATCGTAAACCATATGTAGAGGTGTTCTTAAACTCTGATCCCAATCGTTTATGCATGACCTGTCCCTGAGACATTGTATTTATAACATACATTTTTATAGAAAATACCAACTTTTGGAGCACTTACAACACTTCCGAGCGGTGGGAGTGAAAAAATATAATACATGTCATTTCTGCGCATGAGATGCAATACAATGGTAGTTTTCGTCGGATAAGTACCATCGTCTCCGGGGCTGTTTTGCGGCCCGAGGGGCGTAAGGTAGCCGCGGTGCGATGGTGCTCATGTGGCGAATCCTATTTTTCCTACCGAGGGCACACCAGCCTCTCAAAAACGCCCAAGGTGGGAAATAGTAATTTTCGTACCTGGTGGCGCATGACAACAGGGCAAGCACCAGGTCTAAGGGACTCCTTGTGCTTGCCCTGGTGATCGCACACCTTCTCTTAGTGAAGACGCGGTAAACACGCAAAAGTAAAGAAAATGGAAATTTTTTTATAAATGGTTTTTTTTTCATGTAAACATTAACGGCTGAAAATAGAGATTGTCATCGTTTGAAGTGATGTCACTTCGTTTTAAAGTGATTACTACACGATTATAATTCAATTAAATATACTCTCCTGACGTCATGTTTAATGAATCGAGCTACTTTAATACAATTTTACAGATAATCTACCGAAAATAGGTTCCCTACAGCTGTGGCGTCATATCTTTTATTGTAACACTATCTACCGAATTTCAACAACAAAGACGACAGAATGAACACACGTAAAAATAGTATTAGACGCGAGAAACAGGTTTATGGATGACAAAAAAAAACGTCGACTCTCCTCAAACAATTTACGTAGTATTTTACTTACTTTTGCAAAATTCTAAAAACCTTATTCTTGTCACCGGATCTAACGGCTTCGTGAAGACTTTCTTCGGTTGATAATTCCATTGTTATCGTGCTCTTTGATTTCGAAAGAGATTGTTATTTTCTCAACTTTTTATATATTTAATTGTAGGTATCTACTAGAAGCAAAAAATTATTCGAAAATTCAAGTCCCGCAATGAATTTGTTATTGCAGCTAGTTTTATCTTTCTACTTAACTTGCTGTGTACAAAGTTGACGCTACAATGAGCGTCCAACGGTGCAGTTCTGGTGTAATAGCGACTACAATGTTCGACTGTAGGTGACGACACCAACTACCTGGTTATCTGTACGTCATTAGACGGGCCTATTCTATTTTCCACTGCTCCTCATCAAATCGCGGTATAAATTTGAATTGTGAGTTACCTCTCAAGTATACCCGTCTGGACAAAACTTGTTTAATACTGGACTCGGAAAAGGAGGAGGTTAATTTAGTATCATCCGTTATTACAGTTGAAAAGAAAAATTCCTCATGCACGTTGAGTCGAGTAAAGTATTTCCATTGGTTCAGTCTACGAGCCGTACATAAAGGATTTGAAAATCCCGCAGCTAGTTGAATGATGAGTACACGCGTCGAAAGGAGTTCCGTAAATTTGCATTTGATGTCCATGCACTTTTCGGTCAAGCAATGGGCGTCGCGAAGCCTACATTTGTACCGTCACCTTCTCTTGACCCGCACTCGTGTGTCACTCTCCGCGAAATCCAGGCCTCTGAGAGCAACAGCCGTGAAATCCGATTTCCCCCCTCCCCCTTTCATTCATTTCCGCCTTTTGTCTTTCTACCTCTGCGATGTTTTATCAACTTTTTTTTTCTTATTATGTTTCTTCTACTACGCGCTTGGGCTACTGCTGTTCGCGTTTCGAAGACGCATAAGCAAACATATGTATGATATTGGGAGCTAAAGCTCTGATCAACGTATCGTAAGCTCCGCTTTGCGTCAAAGAGAACTTGTTGTTTTTTGGGTATACATTTGCGAATAGTGGCAAGGGAGAAAAGCCAAGCTTGCCCCTCTTCTCAGGGGGTGTTTATGGAACCAAGAGATTTTCCTCGTCCCAAGTGGACGAGCATACCTGCGAGAACTTTCGGTCTTGTAAGGTTGAATTCGTCATTAGCTCTTGCCGAGGATAACACGTAAGAGCAACAAGAGGGCAGTTATTACCACCGCAACGGAACCATAGACGGGACGAAGCGGAAGTCGAACGCTTCGTTTGGGATTATTGCGTGTTGCAGGGGAGGGTGGAGGTGAGCGACTATTGCTCCAACTAGGGAGATATGTACTGATGTGGGTGTGTAGTTTGGTAAGGGTGAAAGGCGCCCTCTCGTTTGAATACCAAATAGATACGCGGTGGAGTGTGTAAGGGAAGCGGGTCGAGTTTATCAGTCCGCTGAATTCGGGGCTGATGCCACTCTGGATGTGTGTACAATCTCTCTCTCTCTCTCTCTCTTGGTTCTCTCTGTGCTGCTGTTGGATTTTCTTTAGCAGCTCTGGGCTTTGTTATCCAGAAATTTATTGAGCTGCGCCATTCTTGCTCCTTATTTTTCTTGCTTTTTTTTTTTCTTTTTTTTTTTTTCTTTTATCGAATAAACTGGTACATGAGCAATTCGTAGCGAAGAAATATTACTAATAATACCCAGTTCAGGCATACGGTCCGAGGCCGACCGAGCGTGTAACTTTTTCCCTCTGTCAAACGTTACTTCCGGCAAAGGGAAAAGGAAAGCGTATTCAGTCAGCCACGTGAATATTCTTTTTTTCTTTTTCTTTTTCTTTTTTGATCGAATTGCGCTTTCCTTTACTCAAATGGAAAACATCGATGCTAGACGCTGAAAATTCATCGAGGATAGAGCGAGTGAATCTCTTCTTTTTTTTTTTTTTTTTTTTTTTTTCCCTTTTGCTCGATAAACAATGCAAATAAACGACAAATAATCCATGAATGTTGTCACGTTTATTGGATCACTCCCTGCGAAGAGTAAAGAAAAAAGAGACTATACAGCAACAAAAAAAACAAGCTCTGACGTACATACGTATGTATATACGTCTGGGCTGCAATCACTCGTAACGAAGCGAATAAAAGATATAGAAGTGTCGCGCGTCAACAGCTTCAAGTCCCTCGAAAAAGAAGCGCCTATCTTTTATCGATTCCACGGGCAGCTCCTTTCCTCGAGTACTTACTTCTGCTATCCTCTCTTTCTTTTTCTCCGGCTCTTTCCTTCTTATCTTGGATGTCTCGGCTTTTAATAAATTCTCAACGAAATATATCAGAAAATGTATCGTGGTAATACATTTTTTTTTTTTTTATTATTTTTTTTTTTTTCTGTATTCATCTCGATGTACCTAATTATTGAAAGTGTAGCTCTGCTATTGGTGAGCCAAGAGTACAGCTATTCCAATTATATTAAGGCCGTCTATTTTCCATTTATATATGTATCCGATTTTTTTTTCCTTTGCCTCGGTTTATGAAAATATCTTTTTTCGTTCAAATTAGATTGTTTTTTTATTAACTTGGAATAAAAACATTGTAATTATTGTGATGGACGATTTTTTTTTTTTTTTTCTTATTCACCATTATTATACTATGTAAATAGCATTTTTTGAAGTTCTCCCTTTCCCTCACGAGCCGATAGACTGGATAAAAAACCGGACTCACTACCGCCGACAAACAGTGTCCCGTGCCTGCAAGTGAAATCTTGGCCAACCACAATGTGAGCTCATCTGTCTGGCTAGTGGTGATTTACAATTTTTCGACCTCACTTGTTTTGCTCACGCTATTTTCTTTCTTCCATTTTATTTCGACGATGCTTGAATGAGAATTGCCCGATGAAAAAAAGCGCGCGCGTGTGTGACCCAATTGAAGTCTTCATCACGAGTATAGTGCGTTTATTTCACTTTATTTTCATCACTCTTCACGTCACTATCATACATTTCATTTATTCCTCTAGTCACGTGACATCTTCAGGCCTTGCAATGTTTTTTCTTCTTTCAACAGATGCATGATAACATTCAACGCCACAAAGTAGAAATTTAATTGAAAATACAGCAGATGCTTTAAAATAATCAATTAACTGGAATATTATCCGTCAAGGGGTATTGCACTAATTTAGTGAATTTTTTGTTTTTTTGTTACAGATACGAGGCCAACACTGTCATGACAAAGATATACCGGAGATCGGTGAGTACAGGTATAATACGAACCTTTTTCACTCGGACTAAAGCGTCGCCGTCGCTTACTGTTTCGCTGGATATTAATGGCTAACGCAGTGGACAAGCTTTTTTCGTATTCAATGTACATACTCTAAATGTTTAAGTAGTAAGTACCAGGCGATGTACACCGTGAGCGAGAATTTTCAGAATTTTTTTTAACCAATCAACGTCCATTGGAACGTGAAACTTTTTACAAAAAAGCTTGCGATCCGAACGACGTTGAAAGAAAAAAAAAAAAAAAAAAAAAAAAAAAACGGGTCCGCTAATTCATTCGTGAATCGCTATGCCGAAAAAACGTAGCACATATCGTCCAGTCGAGCTAATGGAGGTATGCACTCTGTATAAATCGACGTAGAAAAAAAAGCTTTCAATAATCGCTTGAGGAACAGAATCCAACAAAGCTCGACTCCTCGCAGCAAAAATTCAGTCCTCAACTTTCCTATCCTATCGAAGTGCGCGTTGCGAAATGCAAATTGGCTGAGTTACAAACACACCGGGGAGGAGGGGGTGGAACAGCTGGATAATTTGGAAATTCACGAGCAAGCTCTAATGCCCTTTGCCATCCGAGCGCGTTGGCCAAGTCCGCACGCTTGGATTGAATTACGAGAAAACACGGGCGTCCCGCTTTGCCGTGTTTAATCATTAATCTGCTAACTACGTTATGTACGGTATTCCCTAAATGCGTATCGCGCGATTCGTTCATTTGCGGTGGATTTATTGTTTTTTTTTTTTTTTACTTTATTTTAAACTCTTTTTCCTACGCAATTACGTTAAACCGTGGAAAATAAAAGCTATACAGCTCCAAAGTAAAGTTATCACGCGTATGAACACGAGCGAAGCTCAGAGCTTTGCGAGAAGCGCAAACGGGAACAGAGGAGGGTAGAAAAAAAAGTCCACAGCCGGGAGGTTTATAAAAGACGCAGCAGAGTCTCGCGAGTGTTTAAGGAATGGAAAGCCGACTTTACCCTTTGAAATTCAAAGGAAAAAAAATTTTTTTTTTTCGCCCAACGAAGCGCCGGAGCCTTGGACGTACAAGAGAGAGTTCTATAGGTCGGCGCAAACTTTGAACCGGGCACAGTTGAAAGACACTTGAAAAAATACATCCCATTGTGCCCTTTGCCACGAGCTAAAGCGCGGAACTCCTTGGATGCGACTTTCGTGTCCGCCACCTTTTTTTGGTCGCGGATTCTCGAAAATCGGTAAACCCCCTCCATTGCCGTTTTGTACTCGAAAGAATAAATTAAAAAACACACGAGAGAAAAAAAAAGTTCAAATTTCCCTTCCTAGATGTAGAGATAACGCCTTATTCGTACGTGCGAGTACACACACCCGCAACAGACGTGTCAGTTTAATTCGGGGAAAGGATGAGGCGTGTCTCGTCGTTCTTCGCCCCCGAAAAGGGGGGTTGGGGTGGAGTACAGCCACGCCAAGGTGGTCCCGCATAAGTATGCAGTGCAAACGCGGGTCCTGAAAATCCACGTCTGTCGGCTCACGCTCCAAGTACGTGCTCTTCCTCTCTGCTTCTCTCGCGTGGCTTGAAAAGACTCACGAAGATCGTCCAGGGAGTCTCGGCTGAATGTCAATTGGGGGTACAAAGGTAGGGGAGGAAGACGCAATCGATTAATTGAATCCTATTATTTGCTCTAATGAAATCGAGTACCTTACCGGTATTTATTGCCCCATACGGCGAATGAGATCACGCGAGGGGGAGGAGGATGACTGGGAATTGATTATTATGAAGTTGAGAAAGGATACGCTATCCAAAAAGAGTTGGAAATGCAAAGAGCAGGAAATCTCGATTCTCAGGTGGCTCGTAACGAGTAGGATAAAATAATTACAACGTACATAATGCCATTGAACCACAACATCTAATACAACTTACGAAAAAACATGGTACTGGATGCTACGTCTTAAAATATCAAATAAAAAAGTTTTGTGATGTAATGTATGCACCAGGGTCAAACTATTTTTTCTTAACGAGGGTGCAACAAAGCCTCAAGAGCTACAGAAAAGCACCTAAAAATTTTCCCAACGCTTATTGCTTGTTAAATCGCAGATGGTAAAGTCAAAATTCACGCCCAAGACTGAAAAAAAAAAAAAAAAAAAAGATTATTCAAAGAATTTAGAGAGTTACGAGAGTATCATAACGCGTACGATGCAAAATGAAGAGAAAATATTATTTTCAATCCTCAACTCTTGTATTTGGTATTTTCACGTCCCACGGAGTAAATAGCCGTGCCGTATATGGTTGTACTCCTTTTTCTCTGGTGGAAAGGTATAAAGCACCCCCTTGATACCTGTAGTGAATAAAAATAGATAAAGCATTCCACTCGTATATCGCGATATTCATACACTCGCTTTATCCCGCCGACGAGAGCAATTAAACAACAATTTCGCGGTTCATCGCTCGTTTTATCCCCCGAGCCCTCGTTCAAAATTCAAATGGACCACGATACCAGCCCCTTTTCCTCTCGGCCATCAACCAACACGCGAGAAGTGCAGTATAAGCCGCGCGAAACTTTTGCGTCATGGCAATTTCAGGCCAAGCGCCCAGTATAGACCAAGGCGGGAGAGAATATTGCCACTTTGCATAACGAATGGGCCATTTCCAGCTTATTCTCCACCGCCCGAGGGCGCAAAAGAAGGGGGTGGTCTTCGCTGGAGGGCTAATCGTGCGCCACGACAATCGCCCGATTTCGCTCGATCGAGCTCTCGAGATCGCGATTCAGCACGTCGTGTGTACACGCTAACTCGCCGCATGCATTGTTACACGGAACGCCTCTATAAATGGACAACGCCGTCTCGTCTCCATAAACAGTATACCGTTGTCTTTCGCGAACTAATCGAAGGAAGAACCTTTTCATGCAAAAAAAAGAGCCCCCACCTTCCGATGGTGCCTGAATGTGTGCTCATAAAAGAGGCCCGTAAAAGGCACTCGTGCCTTTTTTTGGGCGAAACTTTAGCCAGAACTAATACATCTCACGGTAGAAGAGAAAGAAGAGGAAACTTAACGACCACGTCGATCGGCTCTCCTTTTTCCGTTTCATCAATCTACCCCCGGCTCTTTTTCCCGCGGCGCTAATGGGCTTTTTTTCGGCCACCCGGTTCCATCATCCCCGGCTCGTCTTACCCCGATTGATGCGTCCTGCGCTGGAAAGGTTTTTAATCGATCCCCTCTTTCCAAGCGCGCGCTTGCCCTTCGTCTCGGGGCTCTCTCTCTCTATTGTTTCCGGGAAAACTTGGAAATCAAGGGAAAGAAGAGAGTTGCAAGGGTCAGGGAAGTTTCGCGAGTCTACCTTTATTCCAAAAGTTGCGTTGCCGCTGAATGAGCAGTGGGGTGCCTTTATAGTTTAGCTGAATAGGTACGCGTGTGTACCTGCCAGTCGGGTCCAGGTTGAATTTCTTATATGAATCGTTGAAAAAAGTTTTCCAACTGATTGAATTCGTTCGCTGCTCGTTAAAAAAGCTTTATCATTTTTTCTTATCAGCTCGTAGGTATGTGTGGATCGATAAAAAACTGGACGGAGAAAAGGTGGAACTTGTATGCTAGTGTGAATGTCGATCTCTATCGTGTGACTCGTGTTGGCGTACACGTGAAAAGGACCAACGATTTGTATCATGCGTCAATAGACGAATTGGTCTTTTGTTTTTGCGGTAAACGCTGTAAATATAAAAATCACATCTCCATTGATGTCATGATTTTCCTACCCAACACATCCAATACATATTTTCCATTTTATTCGAGCAATAAAAAATTTTTCCGCTCCTCCTCCGTCAGTAGCCACGACTGCCGAGATTTTTCCACTCGTTCTGGAGAGGCAGCCAATTTGATCGCACGACAGCACCGTGTATTCGGTCCTCGCTCGGTGTAGTTTAATCAATGCCACGCACCCCCAACGTAATAGACAGCCCACGGCACCGGTGTACCGATAAGGGGCGCCTAGTTTGCCCTTAAAACTCGTACATACGCCAACAATAAACAAAAGCAAACAAGAAAGAGATAAATACATATGGAGCAAGAGTTACGAAGAGCAGGCCTGCAGACTTTATCGGTCGAAGAATCGCGAAATCAGTAGTAGGTCGTCGTGATAGGCGCTCACTCGCGCGCTATCTCCGCTGCTGCTGTATCGATTACTATGTACACGTGCCGTCGATGGGGGAAGAGTTTAGATGACACCTCAGCGGAGCTCAAGCCCTCGTTCATTTACTCGTGCTATCGTCTTACTTTTTTCCTCCGATTTCTTTGTTGTTGGTACACTGCTATTTGCGACCACTTACATATAGTTGTAAGAATTTGTAGGGAAACAAAGAAAACATTGAATGAGATCGTTATTTGAAACGCCCACTTGCACCCACACATGCGCAACACATCAGAGGGCAATAGTCCATAATATATAACGTACGATAACAACTCTCTCTCTCTCCCGTCGATGCCCTTGGCTGAACAAACGGGTCAGTCATTACATCACCTCGAGACTAATGAGAAGTGCACATGTATCCTGTGGGCACGTGTACTCGTAGACAGAGGAAATCAACGGGTTACCACTCGGGCGCGTTATTGGCAAAGCTTCCTCTCTGGCTCGGCGTTGATAAGGTGTACGTGTCCTAATACCCCGAAAGCTGAAAATCACTCCACGTGCACGATTCAATGGGAAAATAAAAGTACGTTCATTCGTAATTATTAGCCAATGGTGACGAAAATAGGCTTACGCAACAAAACCCGCAACACTTTCCAAAAACAACGAAACATGCAAAATATGCATGCGTACCAGTTCCCCGGTATAGGTCGAACTCTGTGTCGTAAAAGTTTATGCATTCTTTCGAACGATGGATGGGGGGATGAGGGTGAGCTTCTTTCCTCGTCCACTTCACGCGATAAGCTCGGCTTCGGAGCGAAAGCGGGTCGTATTATCACCGAGCTTGCACGAACCGGATGTAGGTGAGGAGGTGCTTCACGCGATGCGACTGTCTTCCACCC